AAATGCATACACAATCAATGATGAGCAACTTGTAAAGAAAAACAAAAAATTAAAAGAAAAGTTAGCTAGCTCACAAGATGCTTATAAAAGTTTGCTTGCTAAAATGGAGACCATGTGCAAACATTGTGATGAGCTTACTAATAAAGTTGTTAATCTTGAAGTCATTGGTACAACCCCCATCAAGGCATCTAAAATGAAAAGTTCTATCTTTAACATGCCTAAAAAGGATGCCTCTACTTCTTGCAATGATTTATATTTAAACTCACCCTTGTGCAACCAAGTTTGTATTAAGAAAGTTATTGTAGATACATGCACACAAGAGGTTGCAATGGAGAATGAGCAACTCAAGCAAGAAGTGGCTCGCCTCACCAAGGACTTAACACAAGTGAAAGGCAAGGCGAAGCAAGCCCAACTTCATCAAGATAACACCGTTAATGGAGTGAAGAAGCTTGATGAAGGACAAACCATGGGTTGTTACATGTGCCACAAGGAATGCCACAAGTCCTATGAGTGCAAGGTAAAGAATGGGGGAGGAGCAAAGAAGAAAGAAGAAGCAAACAAGCAAGCTCTCCAACACCTACACCAACAAGGTGGACAAGAATGCCTCCACACCATACTTGTTAAAGAAGAAGAAAAATGACAAGGTGGTGGCCATCAAGGTGAACAAGCAAGCCAACAATGGGGTCAAACGCTTTTGGGTGCCAAAAGAAATCATTTCCAACATGAAGAGCACCAAGAAGGTTTGGATCCCGAAAGGGAAGTAAGAAGTCCGATGGACTTCGAGGAATTTGAAGACTTGGCAAAAGTATAAGTGCATTTCATGGGGTGCATCACTATGGATAAAGTCATTGCCAAGTGGGTTAGTGAATACTATGGACCCAAATTCCCCTTCCCATGTTAGATAACTAGATATTATTACTTTCAATTGGTATCTTTAAGCATCTAGTTACTTTTCATGCCTATGTTTGTATTTGCATACTTATATCCTTTGTCATGCATACACTAGGTATATCTTATGGTATGCTTGCTCGGTTTCATTCTTAACCCGGAGCAAACCTACATGGTTTAAAAATTGTTTAGGAGCACGGCACATAGCTTGTCTTTCAATTGTTCATCTAATATGTGCCAAAGTCCAAATTATAGATAATTTCTTCTGAATATCGCCTTTGAAAATGACTCACATTCATGTGATGTTATCTTTCAAATGGTATTTTTTATTTTAAAATCAATGTGCATGTTTTCTACAAGTATTACATACTTGTGTGCATAAATTTAGGGAGAGGTTACTCTACAAGTTGGATGCTTTGAGACTAACACATTTTCAAGCTTATCATGTGTGTAGTAGTCTCATTGCAAGGAAAATGGAGTCCCCGGAGTTAAGCATCATACTTCAAATATCCACCACCAATTGCAAGTGGTAGAAATTAAATTGATTTCCACTTGTGGTATTTCTAAAACCGATATCATCATGTTGATTTTATTTTGATATTTATATGCTTTCTCCATGCATTATATAGATTAAATTCCCTTGAGCAATAATTTACCAATTATACATGTGCTTTGTCTTCTACCATATGTATGCATATATTTAGGGGTAGCTTAGTCTATATAATGTGAGAGTCAAATTTTATGACATATTCCACTCCATATACAAAAGATCACAAAGTTTGACCCTCCCTTGTGCTACTAATGTCTTCCTTTTCGGTGTTTGATTCCAAAGGAGAGAATTTAAAGGACCAAAAGTAAGCATTACTTTACAGGGAACAAAAGCTAGATCATAATAATGTTCAAGTAGTAATGATCTACAAGTGGTAATGGTCCGAGAAATGGAGGATAGTGGATTATGGATTAGCCTATGTAAAGGGGAGAATTTGTGGCTTAAATCCATAATACCATATGGAGATTTTTGCAAGGGCAAGATAAGTTTTCAAGTGATATCTTCTAGTCTTACAAGTAGTATCTTTTAGCATCATATAACCTTGCCCCTTGCATTGCATCCTAGCAAGTAGATAGTTTTTTAAATTTCAAATTTTTATTATTTGCTTGCTTTGGTCGTGTTGTCATCAATCACAAAAAAGGGGGAGATTATAAGAAAAATGGACCCAAGGACCATTTACTTTAGAATTTTGGTGTTTGATGACCAACACAACTAAGTTGGACTAATGAATTTGTAAGTGATTGTTTTGTAGTTCAATAGGGTGCAAAACGTGACTTGGACGAAGGCGACGTGATGATCCAATGATCAACACCATAAGCAAGACCCTAGGAACACAAGAGAAGACCCAAAATATCAAGCAAAGTCCAAGCACGAAGATAGGAACCAAGCTGTATGAAAGATCATGAAGAAACGAGCTCACAGAGACGACTGGACGCTGGCGGAAAGTGACCGGACGCTCCGATCAAGAGGCTCGGCAACAGTAAGCGTCAGCAGCAGCGACCGGATGCTGGACCGGACGCTGGCGGAAAGTGACCGGACGCTCTGATCAAGAGGCTCGGCAACAGCAGGCGTCAGCAGCAGCGACCGAACGATGGATCGGACGCAGAACTAGCAGCGTCCGATCGAGTACAGAAAGGTTCTAGAGCGGCGAAATTACGACCGGACGCGTTCGGTGGCATGTGACCGGACGCTGGCAGCGTCCGATCAGTACGTGATCAGCATCCGATCAGTAGCAGAAAAGCGAGATTCTGTCCCCAACGGCTACTTTCTCAGTGGGGCTTATAAATAGACCCCCTAACTGGCCAAATGAGGTGTGTGGAGCTGAGAAAACATATCTAGGGTGTTGATACACTATTTTAGTGATCTCCACTTGCATAGTGCTTAGTGATTCATTAGGTGATTAGCGTAGGTGCTTTGCGAAGTGCTTAGGTTGATTAGACCACCGCTTATGCGCTTGCTCTAGGTTTAGGCCTAGTGTTTAGTGAGGTTTGCATACCTCTTACCACTTGATGCTTGCGTGCACCAATTGTTGTACATCGGAGGGGCTTGTAGTCTTGCGAGATCACACCAACCGCGTTTATGGTGTGACCGCCACTGTGTACCGAAGGAAACAAGGCCCGTGGCGTTTCGGTCGGAAGCTTGATAGTGAAGACGGCGGGGAGCATCCGGGAGAGGCTTGCCGGAAGGCACGTCGGAGACCCATTTGCTCGTGGGGAAGGCCCGAGGCTATCCACGGAGTTACCCGACCGGGAGCTTGGCCCATGCGAGGGATTCCTTGCGAGGGGCTCCAACAAGGACTAAAGGAAGCTTGCGTGCTTCTCGATACCTCGGTAAAAATACCTGAGTCGTCGATAGGAGTTTGCATATCTCTACCTTGCTCTTTAGCTTCCGCATTTATATTGATTACATTACTCCTTTTGCGGTAGAGATAACAACACACTAGCAAAACCGTAGTTGCATATTTAGATAGTTTATCTTTTGCATATGTTTTGCTAAGGGTAGAAAAAGAGACCATAGTTTAGAAGTAGAAATTTAAGTTGCCTAATTCACCCCCCTCTTAGGCGTCACGGTAACCCAAACAATGCATAGAACAATGTATAGAATTATGCACCAACAATGTATAGAATTGTGTATAGGTATATAGATAATTGTTCCAACAAAGTATGTCTGTTCTAACAATGCATAGAAGTGTGCTCCAACAATGTATAGAATTATGTAGAAGTGCACAAATAGCTGAGGTGCACAGATAAGCTGCTCCAACAATATATAGAAATGTGTTCCAATAATGCATAGAAATTTGTTCCAACAGTGTATAGAATACATACCCCCATGTCAAAAATTAATACTTCAATTTCACTACACATCGTATCAATGAAAATCATAAAAGAGTAATGAAACTAATATTAGCTACATTAATGCATTCAAAAATTAAATATTTCAATTTTATTCACATTATATCAAGGATAAGCATAAAAACATCTACTTCGGAGGGCATCAAAAGTGTTAAGCAATCACATGAAAATCGTCTCTCAGCAGTACCAAATCATCCTAGTAAAAAACATTTTTATGCAGCAAAAAAACATAATTCACGTGCATAAAAAATCCACATTCCTCTATGCTGCTGGCCGCAAGCATCCATCCTTGTTGCCGCAAACAGCATCCCTGCAATCCACATCTTTGCAATTGAATCAAAGCAAGCAGACACCAGGTAAATCATAGAAAATTGAAGATGTAGTACCAACTTTGATATGCATGGAAACTCACTAATGGTCGAACAGAAACTCACATTGACGCAAATACTAGAAAATTGAAGATACAAGCATAGGGTGGTGCTGGTTGATGCCGAGCGTGGGGAGCTATAGCAGTAGGTCTAGGATCCCCTCGCCTCTGGTCAGGTACAGGTGATGACGCTGCCGATGTGGTGAAGGCACCACGTGGGGTGGGCCGCACCGTCGTCGTGGGGTGGGACGCCGTCCGCCGGGATGGAGGGGGCGCCACTGGGTAGGAGGGAGAGGGTGTCGTTGGCACCGTGGCCGCTCGGGCCTCTAGCCACGAGCCACGCGGGAGGAAGCGGTGGTCGCTGCACTGGATCTAACGACACCTCGCTGCTTCTCGCGCCAAGATCTCACCGTCCGCACAACAATGTATAAAATTGTGCTCCAATAATGTATAAAATGTTAATACAATGTATAGAAATGTGTGTTCCAATATTAAATATAAATGTGCTCCAACAATGTATAAAATTGTGTTCCAACAATGTATAAAATGTGCTCCAACAATGTATACAATTCCAGATGATTTCTTGCTTACACAGTTGGCTCAAGAAGCATAGAAACAAAAAAAATCAAAGTCCATGGAAACAAACCGCGAAAATCATTAATTATCTAGTTTTTTAGAAACTAGCACTGACCATCTTAAATAAATATTTTATTTAGTCAGATTGTCAAATCATAATTGCTATGCATAGAAATTTATGTATGCAAGAACAGAAACAATTTGTCTCTAAATGGATGCATCAATATTGCATAGAAAACCATGCTTGTTTGCATTGCTAGCTCTTCATTTACCGTAACCCCATGTTCCTACAACGCTGCAACCAAATCAAATCAAAACATGGCACAGCAACCATGGCTTAAGAAGCATAAAAAACCAGAGACTCATTTGGCTGTGGCTTGTCGTAAACGATCGTAAATTTTCAGCCGGAACAGTATTTTTCTCTCACACAAACCATCCAGCAGTACTTCTTCACGAACCAGCAACGAAACGAACCAGCCAACCGAACAGGCTGTCAATGGGAATTAGCAAGTATCAACAGGGTTCTTGAGATCCGAGATGCAAAGCTCTGCCTATTCCACACCAAAAGAAATTGCTAGTAACATAGACCTGCAGAAGAACCATGGCACATTTAATCAACTTGTAGATACGGTTGCCAAGAGATGAATTCCAAAATAAATACGCTTGGTATTATTTCATGAACATGACTACACAAATGTTCACGAACATCCTTGGTATTTCATGAACATAAGCTAATGCACATAAAGAAAAACAGATGCAAGACAAAGAAAATTACTTGGAACTTCACACTTGGGCTGGACGTGGGAATTGTCAGAACAGCAAGGAAATCATCTCCTGCGGATGCAAATCAATAATCATTCATCCAAGACAGAACACCAGCAAAGCATTTCATCGAGCACCAATAGGGCAGCAGTTACTAATCAAATCAAAGTCCAAGGATAGAGATCGACGTGCACCATGGCTGCAGCCATCGAACCTCCAGCTAGGTACCACACCACAGGATCTGCAAGGGGAGGGGGCGCCACCACCGCATACCGTTGAGGAGGGGATGCAGCTCCTTCCCCGTCGTGCGTCATGGCCGGTCGTGCGCCGCGTAGGGCAGGCCAGCACAGCCGCGCCTGGCTGAGCGGGCGCGCCGTGGCGCTCCTGGCCTTGTCGCCGTCGCAGCTGGGAGTGTTGGGGCCGCCGCTACCACATCCGGGAGGGAGCAGGGCCGGCGCCGACGTCGAAGGTCCTGGCGGGGGAAGGGGCCGCGGCTGCCGCCACGGGGAGACCTTCGGTCAAGGGGAGGGGGCCCGCTGCAGGTCGGGGGAGAGTGGCCGCAGCCAGCCGAGGGGAGGGCCCCGCCGCCGCTCGAGTTGAGGGAAGGAGTTGTCGGGGCCACGGACGCCGTCGGTCGGAGGAAAAGGTCCGCGCCGCTGCATTTCTAGCCAGACGGACGACCAGCTTGGTCTGACGTCACTGCTGGCGCAAATATATACACTTGCACAATGCTGTATACTCCCTCCGGTTCTCTAAAGCAAGTCGTTTTGGACATCGACACGGTCTTTAAGAAACGACTTTGACTGTAACTTTTTGCTATAAAATATTTATAAAATATAGTCAATATATACTTTTATGAAACTACATTTCGAGATGAATCTACTTATATCACTTTCATATTTTGAAACTCAACCCAAAAGAAGTTATTTATAGTCAAAGTTTAAAATGTTTGACTTAAGACAACCTCAAAACGACTTGTTTTAGAGAACCGGAGGGAGTACTAGTCTGCTTTGCACCTGGGAAGATTAACAACAACGCTATTGTTTATTACATTAGGAAAAGGGCCAATTCCTTCCTTGCACAAGCCACTAAAAATGTTTCAAATTATGTCTTCACCACTAGAAAAGTTCTGATGTCTTACGCGTTGTTATTTCATTCTTTTACCCTTTTATTACGCCACAACGGTCATGTTTGGGTGTAACGGCTCCTAATGGAAGGACCTAAATACCCCTTTTGTCCTTGACCTAGAAAAAGATTCCTTCTTTGCCACCACTAACACATTGTTGCTTGCTGTATCATCTGGATAAATATTCTGACAGTGTTTTTCAATAATAGTGAGAAACATTTATGGAACTAACAGAAAATAGAAACAGACCAACAAAGATTTGCCATAGCCAATCCTAATTCTAATTTTAAGAACTATGTACCGCCGCTAAACTACACGTAGGGTCTGATTGGTTGTCTGTCCCGACCCACAAAGTGTTGTATATTCTGTTATTCTACTACTACGTCCTTTCCATAAAGAATGTGATTCTAGATTTTCCCTCACATCATACAAGATCATAAACATTTGACTCTAAATAGATACTATATAGTTAAAGTATCTTTAGTTTGACCAAATTCATAGAAAATATCATTAAAATCTGACTCTAGATAAATATAATATAAAAATATATCTCATGACCAATCTAATCTAATGTTACTTATCTAGTACTAGTAGGATAGTTATTAATATTTTTTTTGTATAAATTTTGTCCAAAGTATACTTTCTTTGGCTGGGGATAAAGTTAGAATGGCATATGACTAGAGTAGTTGAAGCAAAATATAATAGGGGGGGTTGACTTTGCAGATTGCACATGACATGTCGTCGGTATAGTCCATTTCATGCCATGCCAAGCAGTAATGATGGTAGGGAGTAGTGATTCATAACCACCACCACGACCGGCAGTCAAGCGGTTGTTGGCTCAGAATTTATGGATGAAGAAAGAGCACCTGTGGTCTAGCAGCCAATGGGAGTGTATTAAATGGAATGAAAATTTTCATGCTGGCCACCTAAAGCTCATGCCTGCAGCAGCCTGCCTTGTGAACTTGTCCGACTCTTGCCGCGCTTGCCCGTCCATCCATCCATGAAGGCATTGGCATTGGCATTGGCACAGATTCCTCTCAACTTCAGCAGCCTGGACCCACTGCAACTCAATCTCCAGGAATCATTTCATTTTCCGCTTTCTGCTTTACTTTTTGGCTCCAGAAAATCCTCTCTGTGTCTGCACCAGATCATACGTTAGATATTTGTTTAGTTTTTTTGTAGGCCCTGTTAAAGCAAACCTGACCAATCACCAAGAACAGTGTCTCTCAAGGACAAGATTGCAAGCGACAGATTATCTCATTCATTCTAGTGCTTTCTTCTCCATTTCTCCTATTTCGATTTCAACTTGAGCACTGGTTTATGCTTTTCTGCTTTTCTTTTATTGGAGAAAGGTGCAAATGATCGTATGCAGCAATAAATCTCTCCGTGAACACCTCATCATACAATAATTTATCTCATAAATCATCATTCAGCTTTAATTTTACCCTTTTTTAGCTGCATGGCCGACACTCACCTTTAGTCCTAGCAAGGACTCTTGTCAAATGCGAGCACACATCATACTCAAAATGAGACAGCATGCTTATGATGCAATTAGGAACATGTCGTTGTCTCTCAAATCCTATCAGATCAAAAAAAAAAAGAGCAAACCCACTCGTAAAACATTGAAGAAAAGGATCAAAGTGTCACAATACTATTTATTGAACAAAAAGATCAAAGTGCTACAATACTGCTAATGCTGCTGGAGTTGGGCCAACACTAGCTCCAGTACTTGTGTACGGTTTTCTTCCCTGACTAGGATGCCACTCCAGGTTGGACCGTCGATATAAAAGCTACGGCAGGTATGGCTACTAGCACACATTTTAGTACGTGAATCCTATGGCATCCATTTAACAGCAAAAAAAAAAACAACAATTAGGTAGCCGATCCTATCAAAAGAAATCAAATCCCAAACAGCAACCATCAACTGTCATGGCTTCTCAATCAAATAGATGTTACTAATAAGTTACAACATATATGGACCAAATTGAGGAAAAACTGATATGGTCCTCGACACATACATAGGTCAAAATCTCTAACAAGAATCTGAGGCATAACCACCCTTCACCTCTCAAAAAGCATAACCATCTCGCAGTGCAGCGTGTGTGGGAACAGATCGACAGCCATTGCCCTCTTGGGGATAAAAGGTTCAGAGTTGGGCATCGACTTCGTCCTCTGCCGGGCAAGGCCGGCGCTGCTCATAGATCGCCACCCTCGGTTGCCTTTGTTCTTCTCTTGTTTCTCAGATGTTGGGGTGCAAAGCTCAATCGCATTAGCGACTAGACTTTCAGGGTTGCAGGAAATGTACCTGTGATACAAGAAAAGAAAAACAAGCAGTGAGTTTCACAACTGTAACAGACTAATCCATGACACTGCTGTATGTTTGTTGAAACTCTACACTAGGATCTGCCCCTGATCTTCAGAACGGAACCACCAGACATCACTAACTCGATTACAATTCAGTTCAGCATCAGCAAACACTTCACTGCATATGCTCCCAGTAACTTCTAGCTTAAAGAGAAGAAGAAAATCCACTGTGTCCAACTAAGGCAGTATGGTACAATGCAAGTATGTGAAATACGTACACTAGACGTCGAATACGTGGATGCGTCCTCAATGCCTTGATCACCTATAAAGATACTCAGAATGTGAGTATGATCCACCATGAAGGTTAGCATCTTAGTAAGAAGCAGAATATAAACTATAACATAGTGCAAGTAAATCCAGTAAATCATTGTGCTACCCCCCAAGTGCTTTGGTTCGCTAATAGGTTTTAGCTACAAACGGGAAGATGTTTGACAAATAAGAAGCTTCAGTATTCAAATGATAATTAAGGAACAGGGTCAGAGCATATAGAAAAATGAACTAAGATAGCCAGCCCTTTGATTAAATACAGGGGGCAAGCACCAGCTCATTACACTGTAACAGCAGGAAAATAACAACAAACAGACTGTTTCAGGAATTCACTACAATCATTCAGCAGAAGGCTGAGATTTACTTACAGTAGGGTGAAGACCAACACGTGGAGGGTCTACAATAGCAACAACATTCTTAAACTGGCATGCATTAGCAGCAAGGACATTGTCGTTTGGATTGGAAGAACCATCCTGGCATGCCTTGCCTTGCTCCAAACTATTATCTGATGTCTCAATTGGTTTATCATTGATCAACAATGCTTTCTCACAATTCTGTTCACCAGAAGCCACATTGTGTTCATCATGACTGCAATCAACTACTTTGTTCACCCCATCCACCTCCTCGTCGCTTGCACAGGTAGGATGATCAACTGACGTGACCATATGCTGCTGACCTTCACCATTGTCATTTCTCTGCTTTGAACTATCTATATTTTGACCATCATAACTTTTGCAGTCAATCGTATCCTCATTTTTGTTTATATCATCGATTTCAGAATTGCTTTCAGAAGCTGCAGCCTGCTGCTGTGGTGAACCAAGATATTCTGTGAGAAGGGGCCCCATCACATCTTCAGCCTGTTGAATCCCAACACATGAGCTTAAATGAGATTATTTCAGCATGCAGATAGATCAGGAAGTCAATGGAACTGAACAGGATGACATTATGGTAGTTTTTAGAGGAAGACAAGATGGTAGTTAAGAATCAGACAATGTGGCATCAGTTTCATGTAGTGAATATGAGCCTTACCTTACTACAGACAAAGCGACAATTTTTTATGCCATTGATAAGAGCATTTCTGTGAGCATCTGAAACTGCTGATTCATTCATTTCAATCCCAACAACCTGGCAAAATTAGTAACTAGATTTGAGAAAGATTCTTCCAAAGAAACAGAGATCTCTAACAAGAACCTAAATAAGTTAATAATGGCTCAAGCTGTAGTTGTGATAACAAATTGTGTAAAAGAAATCACCATTCCAACACGATGTGCTAAGGTCAGGCCAATAGTTCCAGTCCCACAACACACATCAAAAAGTAATGTGTCTGATTTGAGATTAGCCCAATCACCAGCAAGGGTATACAATCTTTCCGCAGCAAGAGTATTAACCTGTGTAATTGTGTGCCATTAAAAGATTTATTTATAATCATAAAAGGCAATTAGCAATAACTTGCTGTTTCAGCTACTGACCTGGAAAAAAGCTGTTGGTGATATAGAGAACTTTAAGTTGCTTATGTGATCATGGATTCTTGTTTTATCTTCTGCTGTGCCATCCAACTGATCTCCCTTTGGTACCAATAGTGGGATCAGTGGGCAATCAGTAGGTGCCGCATTTGATATCCCTTTATGATCCTGCATGCATAAGTTGGTTTCATTATTCTTTAATTATTTCAAGTACAACAGACAGCCAACTTTTCAACATAAACTGAAAGTAACATCTCTAAGGGATACTGTTTGATCTCAAATTTTACCACAATTTTTGGAGCTTAACGACATAAAATCTGGTTTGGTTAGCAAGGATAAAGATCAAGATATTCAAAAGAACTAGCAAATAGTATGAGCTTTATGACATATCAACCTTTGTTTTTTTTTTCATGAATCAGTTTCAATCCAAATTTTCTCCACTGCTGAATAACTTAAAATCAGATATCCTGAATATGAAGCCTATTTTCTAAAAAATGTTATTTCTAAATCAACATGGCCCAAACAGCCACTAAAAACAAATGAATAATGAGCCAAGTGCCCCAGTGTTAGGCATGACAATACAAATAGGGAAAACGGTGTTTTTGCCCCTGTCCAGAAGTTCAATTGTGATTTTACCCTTATTTTTTCAACTTTGTGATTTTACCCCTGTTATTTTGAAACGAAGGAGCAGTTTGCCCCTGGTTTGGATGTCCGTTATTTAGAGGTTGATTAAACGATTTAAAAAAATAAAACACATAAAATCAGATGCGAAATGACTGAAATGCCCTTATCACAGTTATCACATCCACACCGTGTCCACCGGTGCCTATTGGGCAGGGCGCGCGACATCGACGAGGGAGGCACGGCCGGGGGCGGCGGGCGCGGCGCATGACAGGCGGCGCTGGGGCGACGAAGCGCGCTAGACTGCGTCTTGAGCTTCATGCAATGTCAGCGGGTGGCTGCGTGTCATGCACATGGGCGGGTGGTCTGTGCCATGCATGGCCAGGTAGGCTGCAGGTTGGTGGTATGGCAAGCGCTGCAAGGCTTGGCTGCGTGGCGAAGCTGCCGGCGGATGGCGTCATGGCATTAGGTGGCGTGCATGGCATGGCATGGCGGGCAGGCTGCATACTGCAGTCGCGCAAGCTGCAGCCTCTCTCTCACCGCCTCTCGCCACCGCTTTGCTTTTGCTCGCTCTCCTTCTCCGCCAAAGCCGCCATTGCCGCCGCCGTTGCCGCTCTTCCTTTGCTCTACCCTCTCTCCCTCTCTGCTCCACCCCACTAGACCGACGCCGACGCACAGCTGCTCCGCTCGCTCTCTCTCTGCCCTGCTCCCTCCTCTCTCCCTTTCCTCTCTCCCTCTCTCTCACACTTTCTCTCTGCCTCTCCCGCGACCGAGCCAACAGGGGGATGAGGACAGACCAAGGTCGTTCGCCCCAGGCCACGTCACCTTGGCCAATGGACGGGCGACACCTCACCTTACGGGTCCCGCCTGTCATTGGTACAGAGACCCACCCCCTCTCTCTTTCTCTCTGTGTAGACCCGGTCTTCGTAGACCAAAGGGAGAAAGAGGATAGGTCTATAGATCGGTGCACAGGCACAGTGCCGGTCAGCTCTGGCCACACGCGTCAGACTCTAAGCCGCAGGGAAAATGCTATGTGCACACAGGGAAAAAAGTCTAATTCCAAATCAGGGTAAAATCACAATTAGGCATAACAAACAGGGGCAAAATCGCATGGGCATTCATGTCCTTTTGTACAAAGTTTAACACCGTTAGGGGTGGATGACGGAGCAGGGGCAAACTGGTGCTTTGTTTTGAAATCATAGGGGTAAATTCACAAAGTCAAAAAAACAGGGGCAAAATCACAATTTCAATACAAAACAAGGGTACAAACGCAAGAGCCCCAAACAAATATTAGTATTATATAAAGACAAAAGTCCAGTTCAAAGCTACAAGCTCTCTTAAGTGCTCCCAGCTAAATGTTAAACAAAATTCCTGACAACCATGACAAAGTAAGTCATTAACACCTATGGGCTATAGCTTTTACTGGACAGCAGACAATACGCTTTACAAGCAAAAAAAAATGAAGCTAATAAGAACAGCCACAAATCATAGTTCTGAAGAAGCTGGGAAAACTTACTTGCACTACAATAGTTGTCAGTGGCAAGGGAGGTGAGCATGTTGCTGCTCCTTGTATCAGGGCAGCAGACAGCTTGTCAAACTCTTCTTTCATAAGAGCTTCATCAACACCTGTTGAACACACCTGAAATTACAGGCAGAGTTTGATAGGGTGTCAGCGGCCAGCCACTAGGAATGTAGGGTGTTTGGTTTGAGCAATCAAACCATACTAGATGAGGTGATGCATCATGAGTTCATTCCTCAAATTTGGTGGAATGACTCCATTCTTTTATCGGCTCGTGAGGAATGAGGTGATGATGGATCAACCTATTCCATTTCACAAACCAAATAAAAAAGTAAGGAATTTGGAGATAATGGACTAACTTGTTCCTCAAACCAAACACCCTATTTATGACTCATTAAGGTTGACACTACAAGTGAAGTTTTACTCTAAATAACCTGCACAATAAGCATGACTTCTGATATTTGTGATTCTGCATTCTGTGAAACAACAGCTTCAGCTGGACATCTTCCCTCACGAACCTAAAACAATCCCAGTGTAAAAATGTTAATTCTATAGTAGTCTTGGTTCTAAATCCCAATATAAACATAAAATAGAAGCATCTAGCTGTGGATTGAGAAGTTAGAGAGCATACTGTGAGTTGGCGCCAAAACCCAGAGTTGTCAATCCTGCTCCACAAAGGGAAGCCTGATGATTGAAGAAAATCTTGGAACATCTGAGCATATTTGCAGGAAATTTCTGAGACATTTGGACAGTTGACAGGTTCCTCAACAGCAGTCACACCTTCCCTAGAATTATGTTGTACCAGTCATTATTAATGAAATTAAGAGCAGTGAAAAATGAGAAAGAGAAACCAACCTGAAATTTCCGAGCATAAATCCTACCGTCTTTTTGCCCTCTAAGGAATATCCTACAGAGAACTCACACTTGTTACGGTATCCATTAACAACTGGGGACTCCAAAATGCCTTCAAGCTTGCAAGGAAGACCACCTGGGTAATTGAACAAACCGCTACTTAGCCAAAAGGAGTAAGTCCAGAAGGCCATTACCAAGAGGCAAAGCACAAAAGGTCGTTGCAAAGGCCACAATAAGTGCATCCTGTTAAGCTGAAAAGCAAATTTTTCAGACCCCCCAATGTTCAGAAGCCAGAACAATGAGAAGAGCATGTTCCAAATATTTGAGATAAATTGCAGAGAGTCTCAGACACTGGTCGAAAACAGATTTATATATGTTTGAGGTAAGTGAAACATATTAGAATTTGTCTGCATTTGTAAAGAGTTGGATTGCATGCCACTTATGTTCACTTTTAACCAAAAGAAAAGGCATGTCTGACACACATTTTACACTCAGCAGTCAGCACCATGTCTCATATGTCTTTGCCTAGAGATTCTAACAGCTTGTCTGCTATTGATATGAATCATTGAAGCATGGAAGAGTTCGTCTCCTGAATATCGAGCCAACTGCACCTTTTTTCGAGCTTTTTTGAAAATAGGCATAATCTTATTTATCATAGTCTCCTGAATTGTTTGAGACCCAACTTCATGCTGAGCTTAACGAGCCGAGCCGAAGTCGAAAGTTATTCAAAACTAAGTCATTTTCATTTTAAAAGAAAAACGAGTCCAATCGGAGGACTTTTGAAACGAGCCACCGAGCCAGCTCAACGAGCTTTTTGTCCAGCCCTTATAATAGGGTCATGGAAGCATCAAAAATAGAAGCAGTGCTTCCGTGGAAGAGTCTTCAACATTAATATGTGCTATAATCATCGTAGGGTAGTGAAAAAATATATATAACAGAAACATTGGACAAGAAGTTGTTCCATTGGCCTTTGTTTCAAAGGCGTCACCTAGGCGTCCAAGCGGACGCAGCTCACCTTGGGCGTCTAGTTAAGGCGTACCCAGCTCACCTTGGGTGTCTAGTTAAGGCGTACCCAGCTCACCTTGGGTCACCTTGTTGACTTTGAAACCATGCCATCAGCACATACACATATGGCATAACTATTTGCATTTGCTGATTAATACTTCTATTTTGACTGGAGATTGCATTATTACTTATCAGCAATAATAAGTAAGCATTAGCATGCATGTCCCTTAACAATAGATTTAACTCCTCTGTGGATGAAGATTGTTTCAGTTTACTCACAATCCCGCATGGCTTATATCAAAATATGCATTACATTCCAATCATTCTGCCAAAAAAATCCAACATAAAGCATGGCATGCAATTATCTTCATCCATATATAGTTGTCTAAAAGAATCTGCACGGGGATCATAAGGGGCAGAGCTAGCGTTAAATATGGCTAGAGCTAAAACAAGCTATGAGTGTAATTGTATTTGATGAGCAGTGGTAAAAAGTACTAGTAAAGAAATCTTTTTGAAACACAAAGCAGAATATAAACTATATGACAATGATGGATGCTGGATCAACCCATCGCCATCCACATAAGAGCTTATCACAATTACTGAGAATACCATGTGAAAGTGTTACACAATAAGCTTGGAAGGTTACCGATTTCCTTTGATTTAAAAACCCAATCAGGAAGGGGAATGGCAGGTGGGCAAGCTTTCCTAGCATTGCGAGTCTACATTAGATTAGAACAGTAAAAGAGAGATTAGCAATTTCTGTAAAACCATTGTTTATCAGTGTTTAGAACAGTACAAGGACATGAAATCGGCCTTACAAGTTTCTTCAGTATCTGTGCCATTGATTGTTTTTTGTGTTCTAGCTGATCAATGTAAGTCATATGGGCAAGGGGAGTAACTGCTTCACGGGCACTTCTTTTACTTGATGAATCAGATTCAAGCGCAGGTGTTTCCTCTGCAGTAGTAGGACTACTGCCATTTTCTGTTGCTGTTCCAGTATTGGATACAGGTGCTTCAACATGCGCTTTTTTATGGGACCTACGATTGGCATCTACTATCTTTATTTCCTTTCCACCAGAAGGGTTCTCCTTAAGGACCTAACCAATTCAAGAGGTAAAAGTCATTGTTCCTTGCCTTGCCTAGACACCCAAGCAAATAGACAGTATGTAGAGAGGGACAATTACCTGAACAGCATTCGTTAGTTGTTCAACACTCTGAAAAGTCACAAAACCAACTGTCATTCCCTTCTTCTTCTTTGCTGTTGCATACGAGATTTCCTGCAGCACCATCATTTGACTTGTAACAATTAGGTTGGCAACTCAGCATACTAACAGGATTCGCGAATGAATATCCTTATTCCTTTTTAAAGGAAAAGGGGAAAATTGGCTGCATGAGACTCCAAATGTGTTGGTGTTGATAGTTAACTACACGTACCAATACAAATCACACTTAAGCTGCCTAAAACACTCGTACACTCACTCATAGAACTCAGCAGAAATCAGTATTGGTTCAGGCTTCAATGTATTATAAACAAACTTCTCGAGCTCTGGCATTAAATATAGTTCTAGTTGTTGATGCCGACGGGCAATGCATAGTACTAGATTTAACAGTACGAGACACTGTGTCCAGTAAAACCAATAACAAGAAGGAATTGAGCACTAGTACTACTTGCCTGGTCCTGGAGGAAGGACTTGAGCCTATCAGCTGACCACCCCTGGCAGCCCGACGAGGCACTTGTCGAGTGCCTGCTCATCCACCGTGACCTCCTCCTCGGCCTCCTCCTGGGCCTCCGCGGCGACCTTGCGGAGCTTCTTGGCGCGGTCGGAGGTGGGGTCCCAGGTGCCGTCGGGCCGCGGGCGGAGCTCCTCCTCGGTGTGCGCGTATCGGCAGGACTCCCCGTGGCTGCACCCTTCGGCGCCGGCGCCGCGGCGGCGGAAGAAGGAGCACAGGCTCGTCTTCCACATCGGGTGCCGGGCGACTCCGCTGCCGGCCGCATCCTCAGCACTGCCGGTGGAGGCGGGGGCTGATGGAGCGTCTTCGGTGGACGCATCCAGCGACCCCTCCTCCCTCTTACGCTTCTCTCCAGCGAGTTCCGGCTGCTGCTGCGGCGGTGTCAGGACGTCCTCCATGGCGGCGGCGGGCGGCTGTGTGCGCGGAACGGAGACGGAGGGTTGCAGTTGCAGCGCGCAGCGCGCAGCGAAAGCAATTGTCGTCTTGGGCCTTTTGCCCAAGTGGGCCGTTAGTTGTTGTTTTCTCATATGAGAGAGAAAAAAGTCCACATTATCTTCCTCAAATTTTACGAAAGTCTATTTTTGATTCATGAACTCTAAAACCGGGTAAATCACCTTCCTGAACTTTTAAAACCATTCGTTTTACTTCCCTGACCGGTTATAATCGGTTTTTAAAGACGGTTTTATCTTTTTTATTTATTTCGGTTGAATCTTCGAAAAATCACAGTAAATCACAGAAAAATCATAAAATAAAAATTCAATTTTGTTAGACTCCACATGAGTAGATCTACACAGTGAACATATAATATGGTATGTTTTAGAACAATTTTTTTATTATTGCTTTAAATCTATGTTTTTCTGTAATTAATTCATAAGCTGCAGTTTCTATGATCCAATTGTGATAAAATTTTTGTGGTGGACTAATTATTGTATGCTTGAACTTTAGTAAAATTTTCATACTTAGAAATTTTTATAATGGGCTAATTATTGTATGCTTGAACTTTAGTAAAAAATTCATACTAGTATGAATTTTTTACTAAAGTTCAAGCATATAATAATTAGCCCACCATAAAAATTTCATCACAATTAGAGCAAAGAAACTGTAGCTATTAATTAATTATACAAAAACATAGATCTAAAGCTATATAAAAAAAAATTGTACTAAAGCATATCATATTATATGTTCACTGTATAGATCTACTCAGGTGGATTCCAACAAAATTGGATTTTCTATTTTATGATTTTTTTGTAATTTACTATGATTTTTCAAAGATTCAGTCAAAAAAAAAAGACAAAACCGCATTTGAAAACCGCTTATAACCGGCCAGGAAGGTAAAACGAACGGTTTTAAAAGTTCAGTGAGGTGGTTTACCCAGTTTTAGAGTTTATGGAGGAAAATGAGACTTTCGCAATAGTTGAGGGAGATAATGTTGACTTTTTCCTCTGGGAAACGACCTTCCGTTCTTTTTTTATTGAAACGGCCTTCTGTTCTAGGCCATCTGTTGAGAAATGAAACAAATTTTCTAAATGTCAATCGGCTAATTTTTAACAATTAATATGTTCTTACAGTTTTACAATTATTATTAAGACTCCTAATGCATCATTCTTTTTGTGTAGTACAGTTTAATTTGCAACAAAGACAGTGTCATCAAATTTGTTTTGTCAGTAAATGTATATTGTTCAATTCAGTTCTCATCAAAAAAAAGTTCATCTCAGTTTTATGCTGCAAATACTATGGTTATTAGAATCATACACTTAGGTATGGAACATGTTCCCTCCATTTCTTTTAAAGTATAGGCATAATAGGTTTACTACTCTAACAATACATCATCAGTTATTTCAAAATTTGTTTGTATTATTAGAAGATATGTGGAATGTGAATCTACTAAAATAACTTTCATGTACTAAACATGAATATTATGAGGACACTCTAATAAAATAAAATAAAATAAAATAAATTGTTATCATCTGACCAATCTCAGGTTAACCTAATTAATCTAGCCACCTTAGATCTACACTATCCATTTTATCTACTTGCCGCAAAAATAGAATAGTTTGCACATGAGCAATACATAGTCCACACCAAAGTTTTTATCACATAGATGATAGTTAGGTTACAACACAAGCCTTGCACGCTCAGTTCACACCAAGATTCACATCGTAGCGGAACTGCATAAGTCTACATAATATGATAGTTTTCACAAGATAAATTTTTATGGGCCATGCGATCACCCATGAGCTAACCATCCAAGGTGCACTCTACTACCATCTAGAAGAGGGGCTTCGGGGCACGGAAATACTCATACACTAGCGTTTACTCACATGCAACCACAATTTAATAATAGCACCGTAAGTATGGAGTACTACGCAGGGTTTATCCAAAATATTACAAGGAAATATGCACATGGCTTTAGCGAGGAAAACAAGTTGCATAAAAATGGTTGTGCATGAAGTAAAGTGAGCATAAGTATACTTCTCGAGTATGCATATATGAAGTCATATTAACACGTTAACATGCATAACTTGTGATTGGTAGGTGCATTAACATAGCGGCATAGCGCAATGACATATGACTATTGTATGGAATACTAGTTTGTATCATCTGAGTGACATAGGCAACTACAAAAATTTGATTCGCGTATAGACAAAAAGGATAAAATGCACATTTCATCTCATTCTTACTTGTTAGTTTTAGATGGCAGTGACATTGAGGTCGAAAGTAATTTGACCCCACTAGTCCATCAACCCGTGCTCTCGCATGGGTTAGAATCTTAGGAGTAAATGTTTGTATTAATATTTACTCTTAAGTATTATGATGACATAACTAATCATTAATTTTTAAGTTACACCATGTCTATTAAGATTAGTGATGGAGTTTGATGTGAAATTTACAATGGGGACGTAGGCACCTATGGTATATACTAACCTCCTCCTTTTCTCAAGATATTTGATTTTTTTATCAATGAATTTTTTATATAGTAATGGTTACATTATCAATATAGATATGTCAAACATTTTTAGTAAAAATATAAAAAAATATATATCTTAAGTATGTGTGTGTGATTTGCATGTTGGCACAATATGTATGTTTACTATATTAATCATTTTTTTGTATTAATATATATAAAACGAGCAATGGAGAAACGTATTTGTGCTTTATGGTTATTTAATTTTTTTATAAGCTATTAAAATAACAGTAAGATATAGATAATTTAAATACAAATCTAAATATGTTACTTTATATTATCTTTCATAATGTCATATTGTAACATCATTTCTAGCACATAGAGTGCTTAAAATTAAATTACAAATATTTATATATTGTAATATTTTAGTCAAATGTGTACACTTATCTTGAATAACAATTTGCAAAATTTATTATCATGAAGTATTAATATAACTTAATTACTATGTCATTTATTAAGGGAATAATTTCACGCACGATAAGTTGTTAAAATAAATAGTTATTCTAATGTCTACATGTTTAGTTGGTCCATATGGTGCAACATAACGTTATGCTTATTTTAACTTAACGGTTGTAGAGTATGTAATTTAGAAATATATATATATAGCTACTTTATAGATATTTTTTGTGATAGCTTATATTAGTAATTATACGTTGCATGGGGTCTTTATTTTAGTTTTATTATAAGTGTGCTTCATTAACTAAGGAATTATTATGTAGGCATAATAGTAGATTGCATGTTTGCACAGGAGTTGCTTGCCAGAATGGCTCGAACTGATTGAATGGTACATGGTGTGACAAATCTTAATGCAAATCAGATCTCAAGAATGTATTAAAAAGGCAGTAAAATGGATTCATAAATCTGAATGTATCTCCTTGGAAGTTTGTTGAAAGGCTAATATTATTGAATTATTGATATTGAATAATGAAGACCTACTGCTAATATTGTTGACGGTTCTTGATGTTATTGTGATGACATGAGATATTGCCCTCTCATCTGTTTGCTGAACTTTGGTCCCCAAAATCGAACCAAATTTTTTTGGCCACTGCAAAATTGGAAGTGAAAAATAATGTAATTTAAGATGTGCAGAAACATTAGGAAATATTTTGCGCTTAATAAGGTGCTGCAGTAACATGCATGTAAACACGTAAAAGTTTGGTATCTTTTGTGAAGGAAAAAATAGCTTACCCGATCAAGAGCACAATGTCACGGATTTTTGTCACTTCGAAGTTTGTTCTGGTTTCTTCTATTGGTCCAATGTATGTTGCAACTCCATGATATGTATGAAATATAAATATGAGTTGTTATCCGACAGTGATCAAATGAGAGGAATAACATAAAAATTATAATGTTAGTGGAAGTTTACTTGTGAGGTACATGTCGATATTTACTCTAGTAGAAAGCATGTCTATATTGAAGAACTGAAATCTGTACTTTGGAATGTCTTGTGTATCTTTCATCTTCTTTACATTAGTTGTGGGCAAGAAATTGAATACCTTATCATTCTCCATCGGTTGATATTCCTATGCAGTCATCTTGAATTTGACGTTTGTAATAAGGTAAACTTTACCTTTCTGATGAGTGGTTTAAATTTTTTCATTTAGGTCTTATTAATTAACACCATGCATCTTGGTCCACTAATTTTTTATCATCATTAGCATGTAAACTGGAAGTAATCTAAGGGCATTATAATCATAGTAAACAATAAGGATCATATCGAGACTTATTTGTTCGCAACTGCCAAGCAAGATTGCATCCCATACTCTAGTGACCCTTGCTTTGTTTTTTCATAATTCCTTTACTCCCTTAATGTCACTTAAGGTTTGTTGGTCATTGCAACATGTAAATTCAAACAGTATAATGGCGATGGCAATAATTTTCCTTTTTTCGTATAGGAAGTACTTCACAAAAATTGGATGACAAACACCGGATCATGGTAGACCAAAGAAATAGATTTTTATTTCCGTGTGGTTGATGAAAATTGTGTGCTATTTATTTATATACCAGTAGTATGGCACATGTGTATCATGTTTATTGGTTTTGATAGATTTCCTCTAGTATTTTATTAATAATTAGATTAACGAACCGTGAATGTGATGGGTCCTGCATATATGTTGTTTGTTGGTTTTGATAGTTTGTGTCTAACCGTTTTGATATTTTATATTAATACATTAACTAAGTGAACGTGATTGATAGGTCAATCTAATATTCTACATCAACCATCTATGAACGAACATTTGTAAGGTGGGTCGAGTTTTTTTTTCTGTACGACCAAACATTTTCACTTTTATATTAATATATACTGTAGAGGTGGGTAATTTTGTATAAAAAAATAGATCCAATGGTTATGAATGGCTAGAGTCTTTTGATTTAATGGCTGGATGTTATGTGAGATTTTCTAGTACTTATATTTTCTTAATGCTTCTAGTGATGATTAAAATTAACGGACCTTGAATGTGTATTAATACATTAACAAAGTGAACGTGATTGGTAGGGTAATCTAATATTTTATATTAACTTATCTATGAACAAACATTGGTAAGGCGGATCAAGTTTTTTTACGACCAAGCATTTATACTTTTTCTTTACAACAAAAATAAGTTTATTAATATATTAACCAAGTCAACGTGATAGATAGGCTAATCTAATATTTTATATTAACCAACTAAGAAACCAACCGTTTGGGATGTGGATCAAGATTTTTCCTGAACGACCAAGTTTTTCTTTCTTTAAATAGATTTTATTTAGTATAATAGTAGAGGTGGGTAATTTTGTATAAAAAAATAGATCCAATGGTTATAGATGCCTAAGTCTTTTGATTTGATGGTCAGATGTTTCTGATTAATGTAAGATTTTCTAGCATTTTTTTTTTCTAACGCGTCTGGTGATGATTAATGTGAAGGCTCCGTTGGGATATCTAATTAGTAATAGTAAGATAAGATAAGATAGCTAGGAGGAGCCAAATGTTTTCCTGTGGTGGATAGAGTTATAAACTTTTTTGGCATGTAGGTAATTGCCTATTTGGAAAAAGATCAAGATTGCTTTGTGCCTGGCTTGAGGATTATTGGACTGGCTCAAAAATGTTTGGTATTTTCTGTTGGTACCGAAAATGAAGATTCAGATTTAAAAGTGGATTTAAACTGAGAGTTCCCAACCACCACATAATCACTTACATATACGGACCAAAACACGTCCTAACTTCTCTGATCTCCGTGAGCGCAAGATAATCAGTGAACAAGCCGCTTCGCTTTAGGTGGTATGTACTGCAACAAAAGTTAGGATCAGGAAAGCAACGGCCTGCCCAACCCACTAGCCATAATCCATGTCTTTTTCACAAAACTAATTTTCAGCCTATTCTAACAACTATAGATAGGTTTTTTAGCGTGATGCTAAATGCGTAGAGCTCTCGTCAACAAAAGAAATAAAAGATGACAATGCTTAGGTGACAGCGAGCTGTTAGGCTGTCCCAACAATAGATCTAGCTATTTAGAGTCCACGTCATCTTAAGAGAGAGTGTAAAAAATTCACTCCTCCAGTGGTTTGGTTATACATTTTCCAAAGTACATGGGTCCCCTCTCCTCCAGGTCGGATGAAATCTGACGTACTCAGCTAGCGACGTCGCCCATGGCTGGGGACACCCTTAACGTGCAAATTATGCAACCCCCGGTCGTCATAGAGTCAGCACTCTGCAGCAGCTCCTCAAAAAAGCGAAAAAGTACTACTGTAAACCGTCTTCATCCAGTGATAGTAATCATATTTTGTAAATGGGAAAGTCAAATTCTTATCATCAATTATTTAAATTATATAAAAGATTATAATTTAAAACTGGTATTAATAGACTTATATTCAAACTAACTATTGACTGTTATTGATTTTTTTTAAAATTAACGATCAAAATTTATTGTGTTTGGCTTTTTCTTGTTCAAAATATACACATGACAATCTTTTGGGAGAGTTGATAACTTAGACAATCGAAAGTCTACTCCATTCTATGTACATATATGACAACCTCTAGAGTTCACAAGTGTGGTAGAACATGAACGCTAGCTTAGTTAGGACTTATTTGGAACCACTAGTAGCTAATAGCTCTTAGCTAACAATTAGCTAGGTTGGCCTAACAAATGAGATAGTTATTAGCATATTCAACTAATAATTAGCTACTTTATTAGTTGTACATGTTTGAATTCAATTAAGCTAACTGTTAATAATTCGATGGATCCAAACATGTCTTGTAGGCTCTCGACTAATCCGCCAGCATAAGTCTACATGCTACCATTAGAGGTTCGATTTTGATGCTACCATTAGAGACTAAAGATGTGTTCGCTTAACTTCTAGAGAATCGTGAATGTTTCTGAACGTTCGATTTTGGATGTCCGGTGTATAGATTATGAAATAGATTATTGTTTGACCATGAAGCTGCATAAGAGGCTCTAAATCAAAAAATAAACCTAACGCTCTCGTGCATATGCTTTGCAATTCTCTTTCTTTATTCTTTATTGATGCTGGGCCGTTTATATACGTTATAGGCAGCTCCCAGGCCGTCGATTTTGAGCGCCTGGCGGCCGGATCATCCATGAACCAAACAGGTCCTGTTTGTTTGAGCCTAACAATGGTTGGTTGGTGGCTTGTTTGACTCACGTTGCCCCAAGGAAAGCAAGACATTACTAGCAGTTAATTAATGGTGGACGGGCCCACAGAGAAAAAATCAAGGGATGGAAGTTAGCGAAATAGACATGGTGAGGCCGGAACGGACGGAGAACGGACGCTTCTCCTCCCTCGCTTTCCGGTGTTGGGCGTGCATCGGCAGAGCTGACTGTGACCGGTGGACTGAAGGCAGGGGAAGGAGAAGGGAAGGGAAGCTCTGGGTGGGAGAGGAGAGGAGGGGGAAGCCTAGCAGCAACAGTAGGCAGTAGCAGGGTTGACCGGAGGGGGAGTGGAGAGTAACCCCAACAACCCCACCTCCTGCCCTTCTTTCTTATTGCCATTTGCCACCACTCCAAGTCTCCACCAAACAAGGCAACAAGGGAGAAGTAGATCTGCATCTGCGAGAGGAGGCAGCGGCGGTGGTGATGATGGAGAGCCAGCCGCTGCAGGACCCGACGGCCACGGCTCCGGCCCCTGGATCTGCGGAGCCAGCCGGAGCTCCGCCTGCCGTCGTAAGCGCCCTCCTTCCTCTGCCTTCATTTCTTGCTCTTCTTGCTTGCTCTACCGCGTCATTGTTGCTTCGCCCGGGATCCGATTCAGCTCACTGCTTGGCCACCGAACCCGGATCTTGTCGTTCTTGCAGACCCCCGGCAAGGAGTTCACGCGCACCTGCAAGGGCCTCGTCGTCGTGCTCATCGGAGGATACGTGCTGCTCCAGCTCCTCCCCTCGTCACTCAACTACCTCGCCATCATCCCCTCCAAGTACGTGCCTGCCCAGTGCCCACAACGCTAAAAAGAAACAGCTTTTCCCCGGCAGAGTGGTGGTGGCTCCCCAGGACATTCCTTTGACTTGTGTCTGCGCCTTGCAGGACAATCCCCTATGTATGGACCGTCTTCACCGCTGGTTACATCGAGCAAGTCCTCCCAGGGGTGAGCTCAATTTCTCCCGATTTGCTGTCTCCTATGTTACTTTGATTCAAAGTTTCAACGCCATGACTTGAAACACTTGTGAGATCTTATATTGTAGCCACACAGGGCCATACTGCAGAATTTGGTGGCCTGGTGCAGAATGCATAGTTAGGGCCTACGTTTAAGAAATGACAATAATAGCTAAATTGTTTATCTTTTCTGTATACAATGCATATTTCTTGAAAATATTGTACCAGGCAGTAATGTTAAAAGAGTAAAAAAGAAATCAGGATAGTACTTTCAAAATGAAATCTTCGAAGTTTGAGCCTTTCAAAGTTCATATTGAGATAATCTTTTGCAAAACTAAAGATTGAACCATAGGCATATTAAAGTCAGGCTCGGCAACAAACAACTTCTTTGCTTGTGTCTTTGATGAGTTGCATTTCCAGACCCTGGCATTGTAGCCTACACCGCGAGAGTAAAATAGATGAATACCACCAGAACAGGATTTCTTTGGGAAAAACACGTAGTACCTTCCTCCATCCCAGAAAGGTTTTAATGAGGTGTGATGAGAGTTAAAAGTGGAGTAATTAATTCTTATGATGATTCTTAGAAGAAATTTGCAGCAGCAAATCAACAAGGATTGAATGGGGGTGCAGAGAGAGAGAGCTAAGATAGCCGTGTGGACTTACTCGGAAGGAACTGCTACATGTTTGCAACATGCAAGTTAGCTGTTTCTGATTTGCCAAGTATATGGAAAGAAGTATTTGGGGGCCCTACTTGTTTTTTTGGGGTGTGTGTGGTGGTTGGGGTGGGGGGGTGTGTGTGTGTGTGGGGTGGGGGGGGGGGGGGGGGGGGGTGGCGGCTGTGCTATCACTCAACATGATCTTGCTAGCGCATCGCCCTGTTGTAAGAACGCCCAAAATTAAACATTTAAGCTGAAGCAAACATATGCTGTTAAAGTTTGCTCATCACATTGGAATAGTAAAATTGCCATGTGCTTGCACCGTATTATGCTCCAAAATTTGAGAGACAAGGAGTGGCATTTCTCTGACAGTATAAAGTAGTCTCCTTTGTTATGTTCTTAATGATAACAAACATAATTTTTGCTTTTACAGGCCATTGGCAGTTCTCTTGGTCTTCTCTTTTGTGGAAAGGACATTGAACCTGCATGGGGCCGCAAGGAATTCTTGAAGTTCATTATTTTGATCAACTCCATCTGTGGCATTCTTGCATTTTGCTTTGCTATTGGACTCTACTACGTCACCGGAAAGGAGAGCTTCCTGTAAGTTTTAATCCATCATTCAATATGTCAGATGTGCCTATTGCTAATTACTCATTATCTTGCACTGCTCTTAGTTATGTTTAATGTGCTTATTTCCCTTGCCTTCATCAAGTGTCAAAATGGTCAATTGATGTGCTCGTGTTGACATCTGCTTCTAACGAATAAGATCATACTCTTAGGTCTGCTAGTAAGAACTGCAGAATAACTAGCTGATATCAAATGGTTATTCTTCTATTCCTAACTAAAAAATTATTTGTAGTTTAGACATGTTGATACCACATGATCATTCTTAGTTGTTTACTTGTTTTTGCATCATTCGAGCTACTAGGTTACATGGTAACATACTACATCCTGAGAAAATAAGGTTACTGTCTGAGCACATTACCTGACTTCCTATGCCATGACATGCAGTGTGACACCACTTTCTGGTTTCCACGGTTGCCTTGCCGGCTTTCTTGTGGCCCTGAAGCAGCTCTTACCAAACCTTGAGCTTCCTATGTGCTTTTTCTGGAAAATAAAGGCAAAGGTATACCAAATAGCCATTTCTAAGCCTACAGCTGTACTATACTTATTGTATTAATATACTTATTCCGAAGACACTTACAAGCTAGTACTAGTTGATGCTGAGTTGTCTTATCTCTTTATTTCTCTCTTGCTACTGCAGTGGATGCCATTCTTTGTTGTATGTTTCTCAAGTATCATGGCCTTCATCGTGCCTGATTCCATTAACTTCCTGCCAACTTTGGTGTCCGGGATGTATGTTAGCTGGCTTTACCTGAGATACTTCCAAAGGAACCCACTGACTGGACTTAAGGGTGATCCCAGTGATGACTTCTCCTTCCCCAGTTTATTCCCAGCTGCCATGAGGTACTTTCAATATTTTCTTTTTTTTTCTTTTTTACATCAGCAAACACTCACTACTGATCTCACTTTTGATATCATTCGCTGCTTTTGTTTTGCCTGCAGACCAGTTACAGACCCTGTGGCCAACTTGTTTGATAGGATGTTGTGTGCAAGGTCTAGGCCTTCGGAAGTGGCTCTCCCAATTTCAGATCCTACCAAGGCTTCAAGAAGAAGGTGTGCACGTTCTCATTTAGTTAGAATTTAGATAAGGTGGTATCGTTGTGCTATACCAGCCAGTCAAATTTGCTGCTGGCGCTTGGCTTTGATTGCGATGGTAATTCTTAAAGACTTGAGTGAGGCATCTAGACGCCATTCAACTTCAAGTGCTAATAATAAGCTAACACCACAAAGGTAGTGTTGAACTACTGTGCAAAGGCAGCTAGAGACCGAAACTGTGTTACTGAAATGTTTGGAATCTCAGAAACAAGTCTTTATATTGCTTATTAAGAGCTGACTAATTCCAACTCAATCATTTCAGGGAGCGTGGCGAGAGGGTTCTTGAGGAAAGGTTGGCAGCCGACAGTGCTGGTGACACAGAAGCCGTGCCTCACGGCCATGGCACCGTGGAAGACTGACAACTTTCTCGCGACCATCAGCGCCTTTTATAGGAGTCATGCTCATGCCGCCCATGGCTTTGCTCCCTCCTCCAGCGTCGTAGCTCTCCAGATTTGTCTTCTGGAGATGGAGTCATTCAGTTTACAGCGAACCAATACTGTGATGTTCTTTTTTTATTGTTTCTCTGTTTGCGAAGATTTATTGGTTAAATTCTGTAGTAGTCGATTGTTATATCACAGTGAAAAAAGAAGAGAAAGGGTGGTGGGCATTTGCCGCGAGATGTTGAGATTCCGTAGTAGAGATGATGCATTTGCAGCCGATTGTTTGTTACTGGTCAGATTCTGTAGTAGTCATATACTCTACTCATATATAGAAAGAAGAATGGCTTTGTCAGTATCAGATGTTGAGATAATCGTTTTTTTAGTAACGTGATTTGAGTGGACAATAGGTTTCACATATAAGAATAGGGCTGATGCCCTGAATTTGTGGCCTTGAAGAATGGTTTGTCGCCTCCTTTATTATCTGACAATGATAAGAATCTACACGGGAGCAACGTGCATGTGCTAGAAGCGATCAGCTGTTGGTTTCTGGACTTGTAGACAGCCATCGTACATACAGTCGTCCTGTTCGCTTGAAATCATCCGTATAGTGTTTTTCTCTCACAACAAAACAGCATTAGCTGGTTTATCAGCCACAGAAACCATCAGCTAAACAGAGCGAGTATTTGGATGCAGCTGCAACCACGGTAGCTGTGCCTTAGTGCCAAAAGTTGGGCAAAAAAAAAAGTTGTCATAGATTTGGTAAACTAAATGTGAGGTTTGATAAGTTTTGGTAGAAAACTAAATACTAGCTAAAATTTTAGCTTGCCAAAATCTTTGGCATGGCAAAATTTAATCAGAAACCAATCAGACCCTAATTACACAGATGGTGGCTAATTTGCGAGACAAATCTATTAATCCTAATTAGTCTATGAATTAATAATATGGTGCTACAGTAAATATATACTAATCATGGATTAATTAAACTTAATAGATTCGTTTCACTAATTAGTGTACACCTGTGCAATTAGTTTTATAATCAGCTAATGTTTAGTCCATCTAGTTAGCATCCGAACATCTAATGTGACACGAACTAAACTTTAACCCCTGAATTCAAACGTCTAGTACAGAGAGGACAAACATCATATATTTATGGGTTGGTAGGTATAGTATGTCGTTAGCATTTGCAACACGGTACTGTTAAGGTGCGTGTGTGTTAGCAGAAGGCAATGGGGAGTTGGATTGGGGAAGAAGTAAGCAATAGAACAGAGAAGGATACAATATGGAGGAGTTCTATTGCATAACAGAATAAGATTCTGTTTACAAATTTCATAAGCCACACCTTCCCATCCTCTCAATACTTATACTACTCAGCTAACCAAGCCACGTTGGGCCGGACACCTTCGGGTTAGGCTTCGGAATCCTTTTGGACCGCCTGTCTTCTTCTCCAAGCCCATTTCCTCCAGCCGAGCCTTGACGAGGCGATGTTGTCGGGCGAGGAATAGCAGCGGTGCTAACATTCCCCACCCCTTGAGAAACGGCATGTCCCCATGCCAGAGCGCGAGGAAACTGCTGGCGTAGCGTCTCGAGGGGCTCCCGGGTAGCCAACAATGGTGGCATATGAGACCACTTGACGAGGCCTTGCTCCACCGGCTGCGCGCCATCCGTCCCGCGACGCTGCAAAAATGGATTATGGAACCTGAAACTGAATGTCATTAGATGGAATATCAGCAGCAATTGGTTCGACTCCATGAGATTTCTTAAGCTGTGAAACATGGAAAACCGGATGAATTGTTGAGTGATCTGGTAACTTCAACTTGTAAGCCATGGCTCCAACACGCGCTATGATCTGGAATGGCCCAAAGAACCAAAAAGCTAGCTTCTGACAGGAACGCTGAGCTAATGAAGACCGGACGTATGGCTGAATCTTTAGAAAAACCCAATCTCCCACAACGAATTCCCGTTTAGACCAACGTTTATCAGACTGGTGCTTCATCTTGGCATGATGTAACACCTCTGGTGTTCCGAGCTGTTTAGCCCCGCGATTTAGGCCTAAGAAAAATTACCGAAACGATTTTCTCGGATTTAATTTTTTTTTAAAAAAACCAGCTTTTCGCATCAACATCTGAAATTATATTTAAAGGCACTGTTGTCCTTGCTGCACTGTCGTTCTGGACGTTTGAGTACATTGGTGCGTCTCCCTTACTCTGAATAAATCCATCATCCAAATTATTAACGTCGCGCCGTGTTGCTCTACTGGCCACGACTAGCTGTTGCCTGTGTTGTTGTCCGTTGCTATGCTAGTGCTTCCACGAATTTTTTGGTTTACTGCGGTTATTTCTCCCTTTCACCACGGTTCAACTTCAAAAGTACTTCTTGAGCAAGCTGAACTGCTGCTGCTCTCACTCTGCTTTTCCTGTCATGTCCGTCTCCGATTGCTTTTCCATGTCGTGCTGCTACCGCCTGAGCAAAGCTCCAACTCACGAATTCCCACGTCTCCCTGCCACTGCTGTCTCGGTCTGTGCTCGCTTGTCTGGGCTGTCTCTGTGCTGAGCCAAGCACCCGATGGACAGCGTCCCAGTCGCTTTGGCTTACTCACCGCGCCTCCTCCTTTTCTCCGCTCCGCTGTCTCTCTCGGGCCACAGCCCGTAGCAATCACCGACGCCTCCTTGCTCTCATTCTACTGCGGTACCTCCTTGTCTTTTGGCCGTCCGCTCCAGCCAAGCATTGCTTGCTTGTGAGCCTCTGTCCGATTGGGACGCTGCCCGTGTCGCGTGCCCATGCTTTGCGGCCGCGCGCCATGCTGGATCGCAGCAGCCGCACCGCATCCGCGTCCCTCGGCCGCGTTGGACCGCTCCGCCTCCGGCTCGCCCTCCCCGCAGCGCCACCGGGGCCACGCCGTCTGGTGTCAGCCTTCCTCACGCGAGCGCACGCGGACCCCCGGTCCCGCTGCTCCTCGGCCCGTGCGGGTCTTCTTTGCCGCGGCGCGTCGAGCACCCTGACACCCGCGTCCCGCGGCGGCGCCCTCCTTTTTTCTTCTTCAGCAGCGCGCGTGCCGCCCGTGCAGCGCCATCACCGCCCGAGCGCGGTAACCTCATTTGTCGTCTGCGCCCGGCTCCCTTCGCCTTTGCCGCCACGCACTCTGGCGTGGCGCGCGCCGCTTTGCCCCTGGCGTCAAAGACGCCCGGCACGCCGCGGCTCCCTCATCTTCTGGCTGGCGCTGTGCTACTCCTCGTCCCTCTGCTTGCCCCGCGTCCGAGCCTCCGCGCCACCGCCCGGTTAACGCCGCCCCCCATGGCCCCGCCATCGTCGCGCTGCTGCATGCTCGCCACAGCTCTGCGCCGTCTTTGCATGTGCGGCGATCCGCATGCGCTTCGCCCTCGGCCGTCTGCTGCGGCGTCCCCGCCATGGTGCTCTGCTGCCGTGCACTCGCTCTCTCCGTGCGCACGAAGTTCCTTGCCACGCGCCGCAAAGCCACCCCGTCAGCAGCTGCGACCCGTCGGGACCAAGGCCGTCGTGACCGCAGCGTCTTCCATCGCGGTCGAGCTCCTCGGCTCCTCGGCTCCGAAAGCGCCTCGCTCTGGAAAAGATGAAGCATGGTGAGCAAGGGTATAAATCCAAGAAAACATTTTGTACAGGGTTGTTTACGCAAATACGTGTCACCGGGGAATAGTGCTTTTGTCTTGGGGAGTAATTTGAGGAAAGTATAGGTGTCTCTCATTGCAAAAAAGACCGCTTGTTGCTACGCTGCCGTCCGCTGGGCGATCGCCCATGATTGGGCCACCGCTTATTTGGCGGCATGCCGTTATTTGGTCCGCCGGGTTGGAAGGCATGCAGCGTGCCTCGGTGGGCAGCGTCGCTCTCATGGCCGATGGCTACGTGCGGCATTTGCGTCGCTAAGCGCGCCCACAGTGTATTTGAGCCCCCTGTAATAACACCGGGTGTTTTAATACTAAAACCTGCCATGTCATCATATGCATTGTACATCATTTCGTATTAGTGAAAACTTTGATATGCATACACTAAAACAAGTTTACAATTATGTTATATGTGTTGCCTTGTATGGTTTGGATCGAGTTCAAAGTTTTGTTTGGATTTGAATTTCGAAAAACCACGAAATTAGTTTTACCCGAAAAACCCATTTTAAAATCTAAGCACATTTTAGGTTGAGCCTTAAAGCAAAAGTGTAAAACCCATTTCAAAATCTAAAAACAGTAATTTGGGGTAATTCTTTGAGCCATTTTAAATTTGCATTTCAAAAATAGACCGAATTAGGGGTGGTTATAAAAGCAAAGTTGTAGAACTTTTGTTTTTGAACAAAGTTTATTTTGGAGTTTTTTGAGTTGTTTACATAAAATTGGGAAGTAATTTGAGTTTCAAAAAGGCGTAATTGTTTAAATGTCCTATTTTTGAATTCAATTTGACCTTCTCGGCATACCATCTGGCCATCCTCGACTAAGTGCGTAAAGGCTCCTTCGTGGCTTCTTGTGCTTGCTTACGAGCCACGCTATTTAGCTGGTCACCGACTTCGTCGGGAACTTCTTCTTTCTCCTCCTCGCTTTTTCCAAGCCGGCCGTAGCTCAAGGTTCGAGAAGCGCCGTCGATTTCCGATTGTACCATCTCACAAAGTGGTCGCGCGTTCCTTGCACCTAGCCGTTACGCCCCTTGATGAGCATGCCTCGGCTTCGCGTCGCGCTTTGTTCGTGATGCTCTATGGCCGTTGAGTTGCTCCTTTTATCTTGGTGCGCGCCCTTGATGAGCATGCCTCCGGCCTTGCCGTGATGCTCTATGATCGGCTGATTGCTCCTTTATCCACCGACCACCGAGCACCGCGTCGCCGTTGCTTTCGCACCGCCGCGTGATCATTTGTGACCGTCGACCCACCTATCCGTTGTTCCTCCGGCTCGTCCATTGCCTTCAACGTGTTCGGGGTGAGCTCCTGGTTCTTCCCGTGTGGTTTGTTTCACTGCTACCGGTCTCCT